AACTACGAGAAAGGTAAACTATTCCTTCTTATCTGCAACCTTTCACACAATCATTCACATCGTTCTCTTCTAACATCTCTCTACTTTTATTCAGCTGGAGGGACTGGTCTTGCCTATTTCCATTCTAATCACTTCTGCAGCATCACTCGTAATGGCTTCAATTTCCTCCCAAGTTGATACCTTTGATGAATTACAAGGATCCATCCTTGATCTCCTATTTCTCAACTACCTCCTGTCTCTATGCGACATCAGCAGAAAGCAGAGCATTAGTTTTCAAACATATGACTACAAAACACTCTTCTAATTTGTCACCACCTCTTTGAGAGAGTTAAAATAAAGAACGGAACAAAAACAGTAGTTGCTGGAAAAGCTCAGCAGGTCTAGCAGCATCTGTGAAGAGAAATCAGAGTTAACATTTCAGGTCTGGTGACCCTTCCTCAGAACGGTGAGTAACGTTCTGATGAAGGGTCACTAGACCCGAAACGTTTTTATTAAGGTAAAGAATGGCTGGTCTGCCATTCCAGAAGTTAAGTGGGTGCATCCGATGGCACTGGTTATGGCCTCGGGCAATCTGGGGTTCTTGTTCTTAGACTGGTCAGACCTTCATGTCGAGTCTCCATATGGTCCTTAATGCCTTAATGACTACCACCCAGTGGCTCTGACATCCATCATTATGAAGTGCTTCAAGAGATTAGTGATGGCACACATCAACTCCAGCCGCCCAGACTGGCTTGATCCACTACAATTTGCCTACCATCACAATAGGTCCTCGGCAGACGCCAACTCCCTGGCCCTACACTTGTCCTTGGAACATCTGGGGATAACAAGGACACCTACATCAGACTCCTACTTATTTGCTTTAGCTCTGCCTTCAACACCATAATTCCAAAAAAACCCATCTCCAAACTCTGGGACCTAGGACTCTGCTCCCCCTTCTGCAACTGGATCCTTGACTTCCTGACCTGCAGACCGCAATTGGTAAGGATAGGTGACAACAACTCCTCCACAAGAATCCTCAATACTAGTGCCCCACAAGGCTGAGTACTCAGCCCCTTACTATATTCCTTATGTACTCATGACTGTGTGGCTAAATTCAGCCCTAACTCCATTTACAAATTTGCTGATGACACAACCATAGTGGGTCAGATCTCAAACAATGACAAGATTGTTTTCAGGAAGGATATAGACAGCTTAGTAGCATGGTATAAAGACAACAATCTCTTCCTCAATGTCAGCAAAACAAAGGAGTTGGTCAACAACTTCAAGAAGCAGACAGGAGGATACAATCCTGTCTGTATCAATGGTGCCGAGGTGAAGGTGGTCAGGAACTTCAAGTTCCTCGGAGTAAATATCACCAATGATCTATCCTAGTCTATCCATATCAATGCTACAGTCAAGAAAGCACACCAATGCCTCTACTTCCTCAGGAGGCTAAGGAAATTTGAAATGTCCACAATGACTTTTATCAATTTTTATAGATGCACCATAGAAAGCATTCTATCTGGATGTATCACAGCTTGGTATGGCAACTGCTCTGCCCAAGATCGTAAGGAATTACAGAGAATTGTGAATGTAGCTCAGTCCATCACAAAAACCAGCCTTCCTTCCACTGACTCCGTCTACCCTTCCCGCTATCTCAGGAAAGCAGCCAACATAATCAAAGACCCCTCCCACCTTAGTTATACTCTCTTCCACAGGACAAATACAAGAGTTTGAAAACACGTACCAACAGATTTAAGAACAGCTTCTTCGCCGCTTTAATCAGACTTTTGAACTAACCTCTCATTTACTAGAGTTGATCTTTCTCTGCACCCTCTCTGTAGCTATAACACGATATTCTGCATTCTGTTCTATGACCCTGATGTACTTAAATAAGGTATAATTTGTCTGGTTAGCATACATTACAATATTTTGCATTGTTATCTCAGTACATGTGATAATAATAAATCAAATCAAAATCAAATCACTGATGGCAAGAGCCTTGTTCATATGTGAACAGACACCCTTAAGGAAAATGGTAGAGATTGATGGTGAGAGTTGACCCATTGACAGGATTCACAAGGTCAGCAACGGAAGGAATGAGTTGGACAGAGAAAAGTTTGGCTAAAGAGCAACTAGTGGGTAAACAGTGCAGGACGATGGTTGACAGAGTATTATGTAACAATATGCCTCAATGAGGCCTTTAGAGGGTGCCAGCAAATGCACTGTGGAAAGTTGTGGGCTTATCAAGGGAACACTCAAACCTGGGACAGCAGCAGAAGAGTAGGAAGCTTGAGAAGAGCTGTAATTTTAGGAGGGACGTGAGAAGATAGAGCACTCAAATGAAAAAAATAAAGGTGGCATAATAGGAGAGATAGAAATGAAAATGAATGGAACAAGAGATAATTAAGGCTTTCACGTCTTTGTCAAAAAAAGAGCTATCCAGCATAATTCCATTCTCCAGCTCCTGATTCATATCCCTATATGTTAAAGTTGATCAATGCAAACCCAAGTATTTTTGAAATGTGTTGAGAGTTTCTGCCTCCACCAAGCTTTCAGATAGTGAGTGCCAAATCCCAAAATCCTCTTTGCCAAAAAACTCTCAATTCTCCTTTAATCCTTTGCCAATTATTTTAAATCTATGCCTGCAAAGGGAAAAGGCTTCTTCATATCCAATCTATCCAGGCCTTTCAGTTTTATTCACCTCAATTAAAATGATCCTTCCTCTGTTCCAAGGAGAAATCTATTCAATCTCTTCTCATAGCTGAAATTCTCCATTCTTGACAATCTCCTCTGTATCTCTTTGGTGTGAACATTCATCCTGTAATCCAGTAACCAGAACAGTGCTCTTTTCTTTCACAGTTTCATCATGATTTGCCTGCTCTTGTATCTACGCTTTAGCAAATTCTTAACCACCTTATTTACCTATCCTGCCATCTTCAATACCTGTGGACATGAACTGAGGTCTCATCTAAGTTCCTTTTATTCCTCTACACTCCTCAGAATCCAACCAAATACTGTGTATTACTTTGCTTCTCAATGTGTATAACCTCACTCATATACATATTTGAATTCCATTTGTTGTTTCTCTACCCATAACTACCAACCCACTGATATCTTTCCATATCTAAAACAACCTTCCTTATCAATCACACAGCTTAAGTTCTGAATTTTACACCTTAAGTAGCACGAGACTTAGTACTGACCCTTGTGAAACCCCATTTTGATGCAGTGGGGAGGGAAAAATAACAGGAAGGAAGAAAAGTGCAAAAAGAACTGGTGGACTCAGGTGCAACTCAACAGGTCTGAATGTGCATATTTAATTTTAGATCAAAATCCTTCAGGTTCCTCTTGATCATTTTTATGAGCAATATCAACACATTCCAGAGCTTATTTCTGTACGTTTTACATCTAGTAACATTACAATAATCAGTTTCAATTAGAGATTACATAATTCAGGAGAAACTACTTTATGGGAAAATGTACATTGTTTGTTGAAGATGGCAAGATGCCTGACTTTGTGACTATTGTTTGCATTCATATTAAGTATAAGGATTATTGGGATCACTTAACATTTATTGGCACCAAAACACACATGCATCTAACTTCATTTTACAAACTATCACAACATTTCAAAATAACTCACTGTATGCGAATCAGTAGATAAACTACGTAAGAAACTAATAAGTTGGTGTAAAATTAAGACCTTTTTGCATTAATAACAGGGTAATGTCTTCAAGTAGTAAAAGACAACTCAGACCATGGCATTTCAGCAAAGCAGACATTGATTTGAACATTGAATGTGGTTAAACTATTATAGTAAAGCTGGCCCTTAAGTTACATTAAGATTTTGTGATAAAGCTTTACATAATTGAAGGAGGAGAGGTGTTCTGGAAAATTTAGATATAATTTCAATCTTTTTAGCTAAAGCATTAGAATGGGAACAAATACATTTCATGAATCTCTTGAATGGCACTTGGCTAAACCTTTTGGACTTTGAATGATTTTGGGGATTCGGGCTTTGGGCAATTTTGAGGTCTTGACACAATGAACAGGCGCAGCAGAATTTCAGGCACAACCTTATGTAAGCTGGCCCACCTCTAAGAACATTGGACAAAGGTGTATGGGACAAAGTCTGGAGACAAAAGATGAATATAATATCAATGAGACAGTCATCAGCCATCACAATGTCACACGAGAGATTGCTAGTGAGAACCAACCAGCAAAGGAGTAATGGGGATATCAACACTATCAGGAGAGTATCTGGCACAGCATCAGTCTTACTATTAAAAGAGAAATTAGTCCCTCAGGAGATCGTCACACTGTGGCAAGCTTCCAACATGGAAATAGATTGACTTTCCCATTTCTGGACGATAAACATCAAAAAGTCTTGAGACCTCATCCATCTCTGAACTCCCACTGTGTAGTACTTTCTCTTGAGGTGCTGATATGGAGCTAGGATTGGCAGGGGACTATATTGGCAAAATTGCTTTGTTGTGGAAACAAAATGATTAAAAAATCCTTTAACTATCTTAAATGACTTAACTACCACAGACACATGGGTTGTTATCAGTGGATCTAACACTAGCTGTTAGAGGTGGGAACTCAGTAGTACACTGACCAAATGCTTACTTCCTTAAATTTCCCTGTTCCTCATCTTCATATCCATCTCAAGGAACTGAGGAAATTCCCATCTGAATGAAAATGATGGATAACAAGCAGTTTATCCAATCCAGTAGATTAGGGGCTGACTTCAATCCTCACAATAACAGACAGATAATAACAGAAAAGGAAAATTTACTGGATGGTACTTTAGGAAATACAACTATAATTAAAAAGCTGACACATAATGCACATTTCAGTGAATGTTAAAAGAAGCAATACAAAGAGAGAAGCACACCTTCAACAAAATAAAACTTTCCCGAAAATCTATTCAGTATACATTCTAAAACCTGCAATTAATTCAAATATTACTAATTGGGTACAATACTGACAAGCATACAGAGGAATGCAAGACATACCAAGGAATGCTCCAATATGTTGAGTGATACCTCCTGCTTCCATTGCTGCAACCTGGGTTTTCCTCAAACTGTCAAGTAATGTTGTTTTTCCATGATCAACATGACCCATTATAGTAACCACAGGTGATCTGGGAACTAACATAGCTGGATCTGGAGGTGGCCTAAAACATAAAGTATGTAATGATTTTCCCTTAGAAGAAAGTGAAATCTCATCCTTAGTTAACCAATTTCTCAACAGTTTTCAATAATAGAATCATAGAATCTCTACAGTGTGGAAACAGGCCATTCAGCCCAACAAGTCCACACCAACTCTCCGAAGAACATTCCTCCTGCACTCACCCCCCTATCCTATCCTGCATTTCCCATGGCTAATCCATCTAACCTACACACCCTTGGACACTATTGGCAGCAACGTATGACTTGGTTAATATGAATATGTCAGATTGTTGCTTAACAAGTTTGTGGGACAGTCTCCCATTACTTGCCCAAGAATCCAGACATTACTGAGGAGGACTTTGCAGGATCAACTGGGCAGGCTGTACATTCGCTGTTTCTGGGGTTTAGCTTGATGCCTCGTGGTCCATCCAGCCTTATTTGTATTCAACTTTTCTATAGTGGTTAGATTTCATTTGCACAGAATAGATAGATGAAATGTTTCAATACAGCATGATTTTTTTTATACGTAAATACATTGATATTTTACCAAGACATTAAGCATAACCATTCTGGCATGATTATATGTGAATTAAACACATAACCTACCTCCTCACAGCATCTTTATTTTCCTTTACTTTTTCTTCTGCAAGTTTTGCCCATTTAAATTTCATTCCAGATTTCTTTATGACCTCTTTTATCCATTTTTCATCTAAGACAAAGTCCTCTTCTATGGAGTCTATGTCAATATTTGTGTGGAGCAGAGCTTCATATACATGATCTATAGTCACAAAGAAATTATAATGTGAACAAGAACTACTATATGTAGAAAGACTATGGCTTTTAGAAGAATTAAGGCCACTTACCACAGGCGTTGATGTGGAAATTCAGGGTCCAGTGGCAATAATTTGTTTTTATAATTTGATTTTAATATGGGGTGACAGCTGCATTGCCCAATCCATTGTGGAAAGGTGGCAGCAGATATGATCAAGGGTCAGAGGAGATCCATGTAAGTTATTTAATTCTTTTTAAATGGCTTCCTTTCATCCAGGAGAAGGAGTGTTCCTGTGGGCCCTCACCCCCAGACTCTTCACCAACCATTGTTGTCACGTCAAAACCTGCCTTTACTAAATTGCCAGGAAATGTTACCTAAAGTCTAAAGCAGGGGCATGGAGTTGCACATGTTACCGCATGCATCAGCACAGCAAAATTTCAAACAGGGCTGAATGTTAGAACTTCTAGGACCTTAGCTAAGTAGCTTCCCAGATTAAAAGAAGCAGCTGATAGCTCGTACAAGACTAGTTAGTGGCCAAGAAGTCTGACAGCACAAAGAACAGTGGAGGGGTTGGAGAGGAGGGGAGAGGAATCCTTGGGAAACTCTCAAGTTGAATATCCATTTTATCAATAATAAATAGACATGTAGCAATAGAAACAATACAAATACTTTACAGCAAATGCAGCAGAATATCATTCTTCCCCAAAAGTAAGAAATGACGGCAAGAGAAAATAAAACTGCATTCGAGATAGAGTTGTTTGCTGTTATTTATGGTGCCTTCTGCTTCACTGATTATTATAGAAGGTGTCTAAAGCATACCTGTGGTACCTGTTAACATTTGACCAGGAACAAAGTACATCAAAATATTCATATCTTATTACTTCCTACCTAGAGTAATATTAGTAAGAAATGTGCCCTTACAGAACATTATAAGGCTCCTTTCGAAATAAAGCCAGCAGGTAAACAAAGTTACACACAAGTTAATAGCAGCTGAACACCTTCCTGACCTATACACCAGTGTTCCATTTTCATCATTCAGACTGGGTAATTTGTTTTTATGAATCTGACTTTAACCCTGAAAGCATTGTAATGAAACAACAAACATATTAAAATCAGGGTAAACTACAGCATTTTGTCACTCATGCATCATCCTGTCCAAGAATAATTAAATCCATGATGCTCTAAAACAGACTTCTAGGAGCTGCAAAAATCTATCATCTATGACACGCTTGTCTTACCTGTTCGACATTTGTTTGAAGTTTATCAAGGTTACAACTAGCAAATACTGTTTCCATTCTGTGCTTTCTGCTCACTAAAGTAAATGGGCTGACATGTAGAAATTTAAAACCTCAACTTCAGTTCTCCTGGGCTGACAACAACAGTATAATACTTCAGAGCTGAATATAAACAACTGCAAGTACTGCTTCAAAGAAAGTAACTGAAATCTGAAGACCTGTCAGCAACATCACAAGACTGAGCTAACACAGTTATTCAGCAATCCCAACAGACCAGAGATTTGTAAGGTGTTTGAGATGGTAGAAACGGCTCAATGGTTCCACAGGACACAGAGCAACTGGCTTTCTTCCAATATGTTCCATAATCTTCTTATATTTTGTGCTTTGGCAGGTTTAATTACATTAACTATATACTTACCTATATCTTTGTCCATTGCTTCTGCAAGTTCAGTGACAGTCATCTTTTGCTTTATCTCCACTTCTTTTTTCACTTGCTTTTGTTTCACTGGAGAAATCTTACACTTATCTTGCTTGAATGAGAGAAACAGGAATTTACAAAAGAATAAATTTGTAAAAGTACGTACACACAGTAAGCCAGAGGATTTCAATAATGCACTGGATGGTCAGCCTAGATTATGTCCTCAAGACACTGGAGACAGATGAAGAATTACATCCTCAGCTTGAGATAACTTCAAAACAGGACAGAATATTTCAAAAATCAAGAATATCTTGACTTGCCACCACCAAAATACAATAACCACTGATGGTTGTGTCTTAAGTTCAAAACTATGGTCTCCATGAGCCACTTTAAACAAGAATGGAACTATTCATTGATAACATTTTTGGGATCAAGCCGCAATCTAGTTAATACTTCAGTGCAATACCAAGCATACATACAAACAAGGAGAAGTAGGCCACTCAGTTCCTTAAGTCAATTCCGTCATTCAACAAAATTGTGACTGATTGCTCCACATTTGTGCTTATTCCTGTTAATTTTTCAACCCCCTGCTCATCAAGAATCTATATACACCTTAAAAATATTCAAAGACTCTGCTTCCACTGCCTTTTGAAAAAGAGTTCCAAAGAGTTGAGACCCTCTGAAAAAGAAACTTCCCTTTATGTTTATATAATGACCCTGCTTTCTCTGTATTCTCCCCAGGACAACACACCTTTTCCACACGCACACTATCAAGACCCGTCAGGATCTTATTAGTTTCAATCAAGATGCCTCCTACCCTTCTAAACTCCAGTAGATACAAGTCTAGTTCCTCACAAAACAATGTTGACTCTGCCTGATTACTTTGAACTTCAGGTGCCCTGCTATATCATCTTCAATAACAGATGACATCTTTAATAAGAGCTAACATCTTCATTATGACAGATGCTTCAGTGGTTCAGCAGTGTGAGTCTGGGAGAGAGCGAGAGGGCAGCCGGGAAGGTAAGCTTTCGTTATAAAAGTTTTACCTCGCGTGACTGCGGCCTTCAGTGGTTTAGCAGAGGAGGAGTCCCAGAGCAGGCGCGAGTGGTCGGCTGGGTAACGGTTACCTTTCACCCAATAAACTTGGGAAGTAACTAGCACCCGAGACACTACATGTGTAGTGTCTCCCACTCTTCCACCTCCTTAATCTAATAATAAAGACTAAGTGTGGTGAGCAGGTAAGCTATTTGCATTTTTTTCTCATCTCTTTGTTATCTTTCGGGAAGGTCACCTAGAAGCCAAATCCTCTGGGAGCGGTTCGGAAGGCAAGATCGGAGTCTGTTTGAGTATATAACGGAGTAAACTTACTGGTGCAGAGAACACTTAAAGAGAGAACACTGCGAAATTAAAAAAAAACTAATTAATTTTAAATAATTAACTAAGTAGGGATGGCAGGTCAGGTGCTGTGTTGTAGCTGTATGATGTGGGAGCTAGCTGATCCCATTGAGAACGGCAGTGACCACATCTGCAGCAAGTGTTGGCTGCTTGAGGAGCTCCGGCTCAAAACTGATGAGTTGGAATCCGAACTCCAAACACTGCAGCACATCCGGGAGGGGGAGAAATACCTGGATGCTGTGTTCCAGCAGGCAGTCACACCTAGTAGATTAACTAATGTTAATTCAATCAGCGGCCAGGGACAGCAGTGTGTGACTGCGAGTGAGACAGGTAGAGGGACCCTGCAGACAGGAACACAGGAGCCGCAGCCCTTGACATTGTCCCACAGGTATGAGGCACTTGCTCCCTGCGTGAATGAGGAACAGGGCTGCAGGAAGGATGGGTCAGCTGACCATGGCACTATGGTTCAGGAGGGGGGAGCTAAAGGACAGATTGTAGTTCTAGGGGATTCCATCATCAGGGGGATAGACAGTATCATTTGCAAGCAGGATAGAGAGTCCCACATGGTGTATTGCCTGCCCGGTGCCAGGGTGCGAGACATCTCTGACCGGCTTGAGAGGATACAAGAGAGGGAGGGAGAGGATCCAGTTGTTGTGGTCCACGTCGGTACCAACAACATAGGCAGGACTAGGAAAAAAGACCTGTTTCGGGATTATGAGAAGCTAGGAACAAAATTAAAAAACAGGTCTTCAAGGGTGATAATCTCTGGATTGCTGCCCGAGCCACGTGCAAATTGGCATAGGGAGGCGAGGATCAGGGAATTAAACACATGGCTAAGAGAGTGGTGTGGGAAAGAGGGTTTCCTTTTCATGGGGCACTGGCGTCAGTTCTGGGACAGGAGGGATCTATATCGCTGGGATGGACTCCACCTGAACAGGGCCGGGTCCAGTGTTCTTGCGAAAAGGATAGATAGGGTGGTCAATAGGACTTTAAACTAGTACGTAGGGGGGAAGGGAGGTGAGAGTGTACAGGGAGTATAACAATTAATGGAAGGCAAAGCAGCAGGTTAGCAGGTGACGAGGAAGCTTCAACTCCATTGAAAATTAGGAAAAAAGTTAAAGGGAAGGAGAACTCAAGAGCTGTTAGTAATGGAGGTGACAGGACTCAGAAAGAAGGTGCAAAAACTGGCATAAGGGCACTTTATCTGAATGCTTGGAGCATACGGAACAAGGTGGATGAGTTGATGGCACAAATCATGGCAAATGGGTATGATTTAGTGGCCATTACAGACACATGGTTGCAGGATGGTCATGACTGGGAGTTAAATGTCCAGGGGTATCAAACTGTTCAGAAGGACAGACAGGAAGGTAAGGCAGGTGGTGTTGTTCTGATTTTTAAGGATGATATCAGGGCAGTAGTAAGAGATGATATAGGTTCTACTGAACAAAACGTTGAATCCACTTGGGTGGAAATTAGGAATAGCAGGGAGAAGAAGTCACTGATAGGTGTGGTCTACAGGCCACCAAATAATGACATTGTGGTGGGGGAGGCAATAAACATAGAAATGGCTAATGCATGTAAAAATGGTACAGCAATTATCATGGGGGATTTTAATCTACATATCGATTGGTCAAACCAGGTCGGTCATGGCAGCCTTAAGGAGGGGTTCATAGAATGCATCCGCGATAATTTCCTTGAACAATATGTAATGGAACCTACGAGGGAGCAAGCTATCCTAGATCTAGTCCTGTGTAATGAGACAGGAATAATTAATGATCTCACAGTTAGGGATCCTCTCGGAAGGAGCGATCACAGTATGGTTGAATTTAAAATACAGATGGAACGTGAGAAGGTTAAATCCAGTACCAATGTCCTGTGTTTAAACAAAGGAGACTATGATGGGATGAGGGAGGAGTTAGCTAAGCTAGAATGGCAGCAAAAACTTTATGGTGGGTCAATTGAGGAACAGTGGAAGACTTTCAAAATGATTTTTCACAGTGCTCAGCAGAAGTATATTCCAGTGATAAGGAAGAACTGTAGGAAAAGAGATAGACATCCATGGCTGACTGAGATAAAGGAAAGTATCAGATTGAAAAAAAACACATAAAAAAGCAAAGAGTAGTGGGAAACTAGTAGACTGGGAAATCTTTAAAGGCCAACAGAAAGCCACAAAAAAAGTTATAAAGAAAAGTAAGATAGATTATGAGAGTAAACTAGCTCAGAATATAAAAACATGCAGCAAAAGTTCCTATAAATATGTAAATCGTAAAAGAGTAGCGAAAGTAAACATTAGTCCTTTAGAGGATGAGAAGGCCAATTTAATAACTGGGAATGAGGAAATTGCCGAGCATTAAACAGTTATTTTGTGTCGGTCTCCACAGTGGAAGACACAAATAACTGCCGAAAACTGACGGCAAGAAGGTTGGAGCAGGTGAGGACCTAGAAACTATCATTATCGCTAAGGAGGCAGTGCTGGGCAAGCTAATGGGGCTAAAGGTAGACAAGTCTCCTGGCCCTGATGAGATGCATCCCAGGGAACTAAAAGAGGTGATGGGGGAATTAGCAAATGCACTAGTAATTATTTACCAACATTCACTGGACTCTGTGGTGGTTCCCGCAGATTGGAAAACAGCCAATGTGACGCCACTATTTAAAAAAGGAAGTAGACAAAAAGCAGGTAACTATAGCCAGTAGCTTAACTTCGGTAGTGGGGAAAATGCTTGAATCTATCATTAAGGAAAAAATAGCAATACAAGTGGATATAAATTGTCCCATTGGGAACACCCAGCATGGGGTCATGAAGGGTAGGTCATGTTTAACTAATTTGGTGGAATTCTTTGAGGACATTACTTGTGTGGTGGACAATGGGGAACCTGTAGATGTAGTGTATCTGGATTTCCAGAAGGCATTTGACAAGGTACCACACCAAAGGCTGCTACATAAGACAAAGTTGCACGGTATTACAGGTAATGTACTGGCATGGATAGAGGATTGGTTGACTAGTAGAAAGCAAAAAGTAGGGGTAAATGGGTGTTTTTCTGGTTGGCGGTCAGTGGCTAGTGGTGTGCCTCAGGTGTTGGGACTGCAATTGTTTACAATTTACACAGATGATTTGGAGTTGGGGACGAAGTGTGGTGTGTCAAAATTTGCAGATGACACTAAGATGAGTGGTAGAGCAAAGTGTGCAGAAGACACTGAAAGTCTGCAGAGGGATATAGATAGTCTAAGTGAGTGGGCAAACGTCTGGCAGATGGAGTACAATGTTGATAAGTGTGAGGTCATCCATTTTGGTAGAAATAACAGCAAAATGGATATGTTTTAAATGGTAAAAAATTGCAGCATGCTGCTGTGCAGAGGGACTTGGGTGTCCTTGTGCATGAATCGCTAAAAGTAGGATTGTAGGTGCAGCAGGTAATTAAAAAGGCAAATGGAATTTTGTCTGTCATTGCTAGAGGGATGGAGTTTAAAAACAGGGAGGCTATGCTGCAGCTGTATAGGGTCCTGGTGAGGCCACACCTGGAGTACTGTGTGCAGTTTTGGTCTCCTTACTTGAGAAGAGATATACTAGCACTGGAGGGGGTGCAGAGGAGATTCACTTGGTTGATTCCAGAGTTGAGAGGGTTGGATTATGAGGAGAGACCGAGTAGGCTGGGATTACACTCATTGGAATTCAGAAGAATGAGGGGAGATCTTATAGAAACATATAAGATTATGAAG